TCCTTGGCAGTGATTTCCACCATTCTGTTTTCCAGGTCACTTATCTGTTCTTCTGCCTCAGTTATTCTGCTGTTGATTCCTTCTAGTGTATTTTTCATCTCAGTTATTGTATTGTTCTTCTCTGTTTGTTTGTTCTTTAATTCTTCTAGGTGTTTGTTTTTGAATTCTTCTAGCTCTTTCTTAAACATTTCTTGCATCTTCTTGATCTTTCCCTCCATTCTTTTCCAAGGTCCTGGATCATGTTCACTATCATTATTCTGAATTCTGTTTCTGGAAGGTTGCCTGTCTCCACTTTAATTAGTTGTTTTTCTGGGGTTTTATCTTGTTCTTCATCTGGTACATAGCCCTCTGCCTTTTCATCTTGTCTATCTTTCTGTGAATGTGGTTTTCGTTCCACAGGCTGCAGGATTGTAGTTCTTCTTCTCTACTTTCCTCTTTTTAAGGAACCTACTTCATGTTAGAAAGTATGGAATTTCCTAGAGGACAGTAATTATTCTTTACTATCTCTTGATTGACAAAATAGATGATTTAAAAAAGGTAAAATAAATTTCATTACCACTGTTAAATGAATATGTATTTCTTAATCTGTAATTGATACATCTTACATTTATCTAGAGATTTTTTTTATCTTTAGGTAAAACTTGTTAGGCGTATAGTTTTGTGGAGTCTTTGAGGTCCAAGTCCCTTTTTTGGTTGGCCACTGTTGATCTAGACTTGCTATTGGAGTGTGGACTATAGGCCCGCAAACGTTGCTGTTACTTGCAGAGCATATTAGAAATGAAGGATCTCAGGCCCACTCCAGACCTACAGAATCATAATTAGTATTTTAATGAGATCCTCAGGTGGTTCCATTGTACATTTTTTGAGAACAGTTTATAGAACACCTGATTTTTTTCAGAGTCAGGAGGCTGTTGAATTTATTTTTCTCTCTGAAGAGAAATAGGAGGAGCAGACTAAAGAGAGTTAAAAATCAATTTGGCTTACTTAATTACCGTATTTTAGAATGGTTCTGTTAATTAGTTGCATACGAATTCCTGAAAATGTGTGTGTGTGTTTAGTATCTTTGTGGTTTTGTCACTATGCAAATAAACTTTTTTGTGAAATATTGTTTGATTTAATTGGGACTCAAACAGAAGTGTACTGACTTGCCTACAGCACATTTTTTTATTGTCTGTTTCTTAAGGAAATACCTTAGCATTGATCCTTTGGGAACCTACTTTTACTGTTTATCCAAAGGTGTACGTGCCCATTTATTCCTCTCAGGGCAAGGTCACACAACCATGAAGTAGTTTTGCTAGGATTTTTCCTTTTGATTCATTTTTTCCATTCATCAGTGTGCCTTCAAATTCAGTGATATTTGAGAAAGAAAGCACACATTCTACATCACCTTCATGTATTAAGGGTACCATATTGCCAAGTATCAGCTTCTGTGGAAGAATGCAAATTTATTTTTTATTTGACACTTTACAGATCAACAGTTAAGCAGCCATTTGTAATAAATAGATACACTCAGTTATCTTACTTAAAAATAATTGAGAAACTTGGAGTTTGCCTTTTACCTTAGGATCCTTATGAAGAAACTGGTTCTTTTACAGGACTGTTAAGAAAGCTTGGTTTAGTGCTTAAAACCAGTGAAGTTGGTAGCAGTAGGGTTGCTGAATTGGGAGATATTGTTTTCTTTGTTTTATTTCGTTTTAAATTTGTTTTGTAAACTTCCTGTGACATGGAAATACTTATTTTAAGTTAACATGAAATTTATTAGGAAGCTAAAATTTTAATTTACTTTGAAATTAGGAGCCATTTTTCCTTGAATTAGTAATGAAGTTATTTAATATAAGTTTTTTGGTAACTGTTCTTAAATCTAAGTTTTGAAAATAAAGTACATCATTTGATTGCTGAATCAGACCTTTTTTGTACTTTGGCAGTTTATAGATGGGCTAGCCATTTATAAACTTGACTTGTTTATGTATATAGTCCTAAACACAGAATTTCCAAATCTGTAAATGCTTCATCTCAATGGATATTTGGTAAGTACAAATTAGAAGAAACAAAGGGGTATGATTTCATACCCATCAAATTGGCAAAAATGAAAAATTCTGACAGTATCAGATGTTGGTAAGGATGTAGGGAATTCTACCAGTCCCCTTACTGATTTACCCAAGTTCTCACCACCAAATTTCCCACCAACCTTCCTCCCCTCCTCTACCATCCCAAACCATTGGCAAACACTAATATGTTCTCCATTCTAAAATTTTGAGCCATTGCTGATGTTGGAGAAATATAATTTAAACCAAAACCTCCTGCCATCTCAGAAAACTTCTCTTCAAAGGTAGAAGAGAAAGAAAATTTTATTTTTGACTAAGCATTAAGCTACAATATAATGCACATCACCGGCTATCTGCTAACAGATTGCAAAGATGTGAAGAGTGCTCATCCTTTTATTTAGCTAAGCAGATAAAACCCATTATATGCATATTCTCAAGATAAATTATGAGTTGTGTTCAAATAAGAGGACTTGATAGAAACATTTGTCACACATAGTTCATCCTAAATTCACTTGGTAATTGAGGTGACCATATGGATTAGCTAATTGCTTTATCCAAAGGAAAACTAAACTTACATATTTTTATGACAGGAGGTAATTTTGCAACTTGGGGCTAGGTGGCCCTCTGAAGTTAGTTCCTATCCCACAGAAACTGGCAGAAAGGGCACTATCTCCCTCGATTATCACATTTCAAAGAGATGGCTTTTGGGTCCTTGAGAAAGATGGTCCTGAGTTGCTGATTAGAGGCTTATTTAGCTTTTTTTTTAATTTAAATTTTTAGAAAGTTTTTATTTTTAATAAATGTATTTATTTATTTATGGCTGCGTTGGGTCCTTGTTGCATCATGTGGGCTTTCTCCAGTTGCGGTGAGCGGGGGCCACTCATCATTGTGGTGCACGGATTTCTCACTGCGGTGGCTTCTCTTGTTGTGGAGCACTGGCTCTAGGCACGTGGGCGTCAGCAGTTGTGGCTCACAGGCTCAGTAGTTGTGACTCGTGGGCTCTAGAGCACAGGCTCAGTAGTTGTGGCGCACGGGCTTAGTTGCTCCGTGGCATGTGGGATCTTCCCAGACCCGGGCTTGAACCTGTGTCCCCTGCATTGGCAGGCAGATTCTTAACCACTGCGCCACCAGGAAAGTCCCTTTAATTTTAATTTTAGTTTTTATTTTATTTTTAAAACAATTTTTGGGACTTCCCTGGTGCGTGGGCTTCTCATTGCGGTGGCTTTTCTTGTTGCAGAGCACGGGCTCTAGGCACGTGGGCTCAGTAGTCGTGACTCATGGGCTCTAGAGCGCGGGCTCAGTAGTTGTGGCACACAGGCTTAGTTGCTCCGTGGCATATGGGATCTTCCCGGACCAAGGATTGAACCCGTGTCCCCTGCACTGGCAGGCAGATTCTTAACCACTGGACCACCAGGGAAGTCCAGTATTTTATTTCTTAATAAAAGAAGATCTTAAGTAAATAAGATAGAATGTTAAGGTTTAATTTATTTGGGCAGTCAATCCATGAGTGTTTGTTATATTATTATCTAGGTTCTTTTGTAATGTTTGAATTTTTTTTTATTAAAAGTTTAAAAAGAGAGAGCCAGAGAAAAAGGGGGCAGTAGTAGGGGGGAAATCAATTTGCTAGTATTGCATATTTGCATGGTGATGATAATGATCTAGTAAAAAGGGAAAAGTTAGTACAGGAGACAAGGACAATTGTAAGAGCAGAGTCCTTGAGTATGAAAAACAAAGTGAGATCCAGTGCAGAAGTAATTTGTTTGGCTTTTGATAGGAGCAAGGACAGTTTGTTGAAACAGGAGGGAAAGCAGAATAAATGGTGGGAAGAGGAAGTAGTTCTCTTCTGAATTTAGGGTGACTAACATTCAGGTTTGCCTGAGACTGAGAGGTTTCCCAGGATGCAAGACTTCCAGTGCTAAAACTGGCAAAGTCTTGAGCAACCAGGATGGTTGGTTATTCTGCTTGTTTTTCCTTAACGAAATGAAAAGTTTGATCATCTGTTGGGAATGGGAATGGGAAGGGGATGATGGTTTAAGGTAAAAAGAGAAGCTATATGAAGTAACTCTCTTAAAAATAGGTGAGCAAATTCACTAGGTTGTCGTGGTATGATTTCTGAGCTTTGTTTGCTAAGGATCTGCTGTAATTTATGAGTATAATTTCAAAGTTCATATGGTTGTGTTTCTTTACAGTCTCATTCAGCTGTTCAGATGGAGGTGCTTTGTTAAGTGGAAGGTTGGTTTTAACTGTGATTTGACTACACTGGAGAAAGAGAGGAGCAAAGGAGGGAGGCCACAGGCAAGGGAGTAGTTATAGTGATGGATCCTCAAATCTCAGGATGGGTATAAAAAGTGAAGAAGAGAGGATGAAGGACAGTTGGAAAAGTGACTCCAACAGATTTCTAGATGTGAACTGGAATGATAGGAAGTGAAGAGAGTGGGATGCTTGAAATTGAGATTTTTGAGGTGGTGTAGTTACACTGGTTATTGATATGGTGATGGGAATAGGGTGCTGGAGTGGATGGCAGGAAAGATCATTGAGTGTGGTAATGATCACTCCATGGATGTGATTTTAGTGATTAAGGCAGGTTTTGGTACTCTAAAATATATTCAGTTATTTTCTTTTCATATACTATAGTTTTCTCTTTCTTGTTTCATTTTGTTTGATCATTGCCTCAAATTGTAGATTGTATTGTTGTTCTTGAATGAAGATGGTTGTAAATAAATAAGTGGATGGATAAAAGCAAATTTTGTTGAATCAGTGCTTGTCTTTATCATATGGCTTGCTACTAGAAATTTGTAGTTGGTTAAGTTTCAAACATTAACATCCAAAATGATGATCCACTGCCCATTAAGCTATTTTAGTTCCAAATAGGTTCAGTGAGGACTTTGTGTCATGTATGGTTATTAGTACTGTATTGCTTTGCTCACTCCTGTTTCTCTCTTTCTCTTTTTATAGGACCGCAACTGAATGCACAGCTAGAAGGTTGGCTTTCACAAGTACAGTCCACAAAAAGACCTGCTAGAGCCATTATTGCACCGTAAGTTTTAAGGGTCTTTACCCAGAATCTTTCATATGTTAATTATTAATAAAGAATGAGTATCTACGGATTGAATTAAAAATTAAATGCTGTCTTGAACTGAAGAAGTTATATTCACTAAATTTCATGATTCCTGTGGCTTTCACTTTAACTCAAGGATAAAGGAATTGGCTACTTTATTTTCTCAGATGCAGAAATATCAAAATTTACTTTTGGTAATAAAACTGACTTTTAAAACAGAGAATTGTTTATATTAGATAAACTTGGTGATTTCAGTAGTATTTGGTACAAATGAATAAGTTCTGTTTTAAACATTGAAAAGATCTACTTTAATCACATAATTTTAAACTTATAATAAAAAATGGATTAAACATAGTATGGTGCAGTATGGAGTAGCAGCCAGATTTATAGGGGAGGGGTAGATTTTTTTTTTAATGAAGAAAATCTGTGACCATTTTGTCTATGTTAGAGGGCTTTTTGAGAACTACAGGCTAGCAAACATATAGTTAACTATGTGTGTATGATGTGAATTTAGTTAATTTTGATTTGGTAAATGTTGGAGTTTGTACTATTTCTGTCACAGCAGCATCTTTTATGTGACTTCTGTTGAGTTCAGGTTGGTACCTTGATAAATAGTAAAAATAATAGCAACCACTTATTAAATAATATGAGAATTAAATGAGTAAATACACATAAAAAGCTTACATTAATGTTTGGCACATAATAAGTATTCCATAAATGTTATGTATTTTTTGTGCCACACTTTTTGTTAAATACTCCATTTGTATGATCTTAACTTCATCTCGTTTAAAAGATTCAGGAAGCTGACTATATTACTTACCAACTGTGACATATAAGTTATTTAACCTCTTGTGCCTTTGTCTCCTTGGTAAAATTGGAATAATAATATTACTTTTTCCAAAGATTAAATGAGCTAATCTTTATAAAACTTTTAGCATAATGACTTGCTATTACTTATTTTGTTATTCAGCAAATATCTACCAGGCTAAATGCCAGATACTCTTCTTTGTGCTGCTCTTTGAATAAAACAAAATCACTACTCTCGTAGTGCTTGCCTTTTAGTATTTGGGGAAGACAGACAGTAAATAAATAATTATATTCTGTGTCAGGTGCTGATGGGTGCTAAGAAAAATAAAGCAGATAAGAAGACTGAGAGTGACAGTATGGCTAGGGAGTTGCTAGTTTAGATAGGATAGTAAGAAAAGGCCTTCCTCATAAGGTAACAGTTGAGTCTAAATGATGTGAGAGAGAAGTTATGCAGATGCCCAGGGAAAAAGGGTTTCAGGTTGAGGACAAAGCAAGGACAAAGGCTCTGGGGCAGGATATGCTTAATGTGTTTGAGGAAAAGCAAGGCCAGTGTAGCTGGAGTGGCGTGTGTGTGTGTGGAGAAGACTAGTGGATGAGGTAGGCTGCGGGGGCTAGATTGTAGGGAGGCTTTGTAGGAGAACATAAAAACTTTGGTTTTTGCTTCTTATTTTTTTTTTTTTTGCGGTGAGCGGGCCTCTTACTGTTGTGGCCTCTCCCGCTGTGGAGCACAGGCTCTGGATGCGCAGGCTCGGCAGCCATGGCTCATGGGCCCAGCCTCTCCGCGGCATGTGGGTTCTTCCTGGGCTGGGGCATGAACCCGTGTCCCCTGCATTGGCAGGCGGACTCTCAACCACTGCGCCACCAGGGAAGCCCTACTTTTTTTTTTTTTTTTAAAAGGTAGAAAAGCAACAACAAATATTTTCTTGTTATATAGGCACAAAAGTGTCTTTGTAAGAATGAGCTTATATAGTAATTAGACAACTTAAAAGTTTAAGATTTCTACTTTTATTTCAAATCAAAAACATACTTTTAAAATTTTATAAATTCTAGCTCTCTGGGACCACCTTTTCTTAGATTTTGCCTTCATAGGAATAAATCATATGAGGGCAACCTTAAAAAAACAAACTCAGAACCTAGATAGCACACTTTTGAAAATGCTTAAACAGTTTGCTTATTTTTATATGGATGTAGATTAAATAGAATAATGTCATTTATTGTTGACATTATTAAAAGATTAAATATTGACCCATAAACCAACTGTTGATCAATTTTAATGAATTCTAATCTATATAACATAACCAGGCACATTTGGGAGAGGGATTCAAAAGAATTTAATTTGACTAAAAAATATCCTTTGGTTGCATTTGGAACTATCTTACTTATATTGAGGCACAGGAGACAGTATGTGACCCTGGGATATATATTGAAATGATCTCATGAACTAGGAGTTCCAGAAGCCTTCTTACCATGACTGCCAGTTACCTTGATGCCAAAATTGTTGTTTATCTTGCAGTATTCAGCAATAACTCAGCAGCCCTTAGAATGGAGCTGTACAGGTATACATCACTTAAGAAACATCTTATTGAATATAAAAATATAAGCAGATAATTGTGGAAGGGGCTTAATTTACATGATGAAATTATTTTTTACTGTCAAGCACAGACAATGAATATTGAAGGCCATACATTTAAAGCAGAATTTGATTTCTTAGTAGTTAACCAAGAAGGAATAGTATGGAATAAAGGATACTTTCACTTTTCGTTTTGTACCTTTTATTACAGTTTGACTTTTTTTACTGTGTACATTATACCTTTAGTATAAAAACCTGTTTGAAAAATTTAAAAACTAAGAAACATTTATATAGAAGACCAGGTTGTATATAGTGAAACATACCTGTAGAGCTCTACCAGTACATGTCATGAGACAATGAATCTTCATAAATTATCTAGTTAATTTAAGTTACTGGAGATTTGCAGTCCTTGTTAATATTAACAGTCTTCTAAACAGTCTCATAGTGCGTTCTTTGTTGTGTTGTGTGCTTGTTTGGCTTTGTTTTGGTTTTGTCTCATTTCCTTTCACATAGTGAAAGCAGATGTGCCCTGTGTGAATGATAGGCCAGAAGAGAGGCTCCTTACATTAGCATAGAGTTCGAGCTAAATCTGGTAGAAACCATCAAGACTTTCCCAGTCTTGTTAATAGTAAGAAGGACTGGTAGGTTATTCATGGCAATATCTCAAATCATATATACTCTAGCAGTAAAAAAAAAAAACCTCGATATGCAACATTGTGGTTAGTTTATTCTTACTTGACTTTTTAGCTCATAATATTGTTTGCTTAATGTTTGTGAGATTCCATTTGTAAAAATAAAATATTCTAAATAATGACTGTTTTACCTGAATATTTCTTGGATATAATCATTTACTGATTTTTTTTATCGAAGCAGGAATCTTTAGGGCCATTGAGCAGTGCCTGGGAAAGAAAAGAATAAAAGGCTAGGTGCAGCAAAATAAAACTGAGATGCAGGTTGCTACTTCTGTAAACTGTTTGGGGCCAGTTGTCATTCAGGTTGGTCCTGTACATTTACAGGTGTTTTAAAATTTAGTTTCTAGGTTTGTAGATCATATCTTAACTTAGGGTTGCAAACTTTGCTTATTGCTGGAGGAGATCTCATTTCATCTGGTCCAATCTTCTCATTTCATCTAGAGCAGTCTTTTATTTTGCATTTTTCCTGCTATTCAGTAGAATTAGGACTGTGGAAATCTGACTTTGTTGAATTTAAGTAAGTGTTTATTATTCCCTATATTCACTTTGATGAAAAGCCTCTCATAGAATGTTTAGTAGACTCTTGGCATTCATAGTTGATATAAGTGAAAGTCCATGTGATGTAATGATTAGTAATTTTCCTGAGGTAGGAATTTAAATTATACCACACTGCAAGGTTGCTGTATGGGAAACTGTCACTTAACTAGTGAATGATTGTGGACAGTGTGACCTTGCATCCTCATTTAATTGCAGCTCTCAGAGGGGCAGAGAAATTCTGGTAGGTTAGGAGCTGAAGTTGTTGATGCAAAGGATCTGCTGTGTAGGTGTAAAGGGAGAAGCAAAAGTACTCTATGTTAAAAGAAATATCAGTTTTTAGAGGTATGGTTTTAGCCTAATGACAAATTATAGATATAATAATATATATATATAATATATATAATAATAGTATAATTTTGTATTTGTTTTCATGAGAAGTTATGTTTAGAATCAGAGTTACCTGTAACACCTAGCAGGGATGACTTTGTATTAAAGGTTTTAAGAACTCTGAAAAGACTGACTTGGACACACTTTCATGATGCATATTCAAATATCTGTAGAGCTCAAATTTGCATTGCTTTTCTGGCTGTTATGCAGAACGACTAAAGAAAAAAACGTAGCCATTCCCTTAGCGAAGCCTCCTTTATTGTGAGTGATTCCTTACTGGAACCTGTTGCCACATACATGTAGAGTTATAGATTCTGTTAGCAAGAGAAGGGTGTAGGAACAGGATTAATGATGAGAGTTGATGATTATTACTATGGCTTTATTCATTACCATATATCTGGGCCAGCATAAAAGAAAGTATTACAAATTCTCTTCTTTGACTGTGACCTTGATCCTTTCATGAAGTAGAGTGAGTTCCTCACTATGGGGGATAAATGAGTATGGGGTATACTTAATGATCAAAACATAGATACACTGCAGTGTATTCTCTATCTAAGTTAAGAATCTCCCTGTCCTTGGGAGATGGGTTCAAGATGGTGGGGTAGAAGGATGTGCGCTCACTCTCTTGCAAGAGCACAGGAATCACAACTAACTGCTGAACAGTCATCGACAGGAAGATACTGGAACTCACCAAAAAAGATACCCCACATCCAAAGACAAAAGGAGAAGCTGCAGTGAGACTGTAGGAGGGGCGCAATCACAATAAAATCAAATCCCATAACTGCTGGGTGGGTGACTCACAAACTGGAGAACACTTATACCACAGAAGTCCACCCACTGGAGTGAAGGTTCTGACCCCCAGGTCAGGCTTCCTAACCTGGGGGTCTGGCAACAGGAGGAGGAATTCACAGAGACTCAGACTTTGAAGGCTAGTGGGATTTGATTGCAGGACTTTGACAGGACTGGGGGAAGCAGAGACTCCACTC